TTGTAGTTTTGATTTGCATTTCTCTAATAATTAACAATGTTGAGCATCTTTTCATGTGCCTATTGGCCATCTGTGTATCTTATTTGGAGAAATGTCTATTTAGGTCTTCTGCCCATTTTTTTATTGGGTTTTTCATTTTTTTGTTATTGAGTTGTATGAGTTATTTGTATATTTTGGAAATTAAGCCCTTGTCCGTCACATTATTTGCAAATATTTTCTCCCAGTCCGTAGGTTGTCTTTTCGTTTTGTTTATGGTTTCCTTTGCAGTACAAAAGCTTGTACGTTTGATTAGGTCCCTTTGCTTTTATTTCTATTGCCTTGGGAGACTGACCTAAGAACACTGGTACGATTTATGTCAGAGAGTGTTTTGCCTATGTTTTCTTCTAAGAGTTTTATGGTGTCATGTCTTATATTTAAGTCTTTAAGCCATTGAGTTTATTGTTGTGTATGGTGTGAGGGTGTGTTCTAACTTCATTGATTTACATGCAGCTGTCCAACTTTCCCAGCACCACTTGCTGAAGAGACCGTCTTTTCCCCATTGTATATTCTTACCTCCTTGGTCAAAGATTAATTGACCACAGGTGTTTGGGTTTATTTCTGGGCTCTCTGTAGAATGTGCCCTCTTGATGTGGATTCATCTAAAGTCTGGAACTTTGTTGTTACATTCCTCATACTTCGGAGATAATCAGTGCACACTACTCTGATCTTTTGCCTTTCTTCCATTCTTCCGTGTACTTTTTAGCCATCTTTTTTCTTTTCTATTCCTTATTGTTAGACAAGATCTCTAAAGCTATATTACGTAGGCATTTGTGCCAGAGCATCATTTTATTTTATTTTTTATTGAGATATAGTTGATGTACAATATTATGTAAGTTACATGTGTACAACATAATGACTCACAATTTTTAAAGGTTATACTCCATTTATAGTTATTATAAAATATCAGAGGGCTTCCCTGGTGGCGCAGTGGTTGAGAGTCCGCCTGCCAATGCAGGGGACACGGGTTCGTGCCCCGGTCCGGGAAGATCCCACATGCCACGGAGCGGCTGGGCCCGTGAGCCATGGCCACTGAGCCTGCGCGTCTGGAGCCTGTGCTCCACAGCGGGAGAGGCCACAACAGTGAGAGGCCCGCATACCGCAAAAAAAAAAAAAATATATATATATATATATATATATATATATATATCAGAGCATCATTTTATTGTCCTCTTGGTGAGATAGTGATCGATGCCTCTGGGTTTTCTCATTAAGAAGAATGTTTGCTCTTGATTATTTAAAAACTTCATGATGTATTAAGAGAGAAGACTGCACATTCTAACCTCTCTGGAGTTTTATTAGGAAAGGAAGCTGACGTCTGTGGTGAGGATTATTCCGTTTTCATCCAATAAATTAGCTGAACTAAGTCTGATGAATTTGAGGGGCCTGCAGTGACGTCACAAGTCACTGTAAGGGGAACATTCAAGTTGGAAGAGGAAGAGGGGCATCCTCTGGGCCAGATACGGCGGGAGGTGACACCAGGGAGGGCTGGGCTTTGAATGGTCCAGGGACAAAAAGAATCTTGGTTGGGGAAGGAGATCTGTACCTGAGACGAGGAGGCTGTTTCTGGGTCTCTGTCCTCAGTCGCGTCAGGGTTGGGTGTCAGTGCCTTCTTTACAGAATTCCTCTTGGAACGTGGAATAATGATGGGGAGAGTGCACTGTCTCCTCTCTCTTAGGGGCCTGTCCTATGGAAAGAACCTGAAAATCCAGCTCAGGGACTTGGCCCAGGAGCCCATGAGACCCTCTCTGTGGACATCCAAGAACATCTATGATGAACCAGGAAGCCAGGTAGGTGATCATTCCCCTTTGCCTCCTCTCTTTCCCCCCCATCCACTCCTTCATCCCCCACCCTCCTACTGCTAAGACTGCTCCCTACTGCTCCCTGGACTGCCCCCAATATAGCAAAGTTACCCTTAGTCACCCTTCAGCATGAGAGTGAGAATCATCAGACACAGAACGTCAGCAAGGACCTGCGTCAGCATCTACCCTTTTCATGGATGGTGTGACCAAGGCCCTGACAGAGAAGAGATCTGCTCATGTTCAGAGTGTATCGGGGCTTCCCTGGTGGCTCAGTGGTTGAGAGTCCGCCTGCCGATGCAGGGGACACTGGTTCGTGCTCCGGTCCGGGAGGATCCCACATGCCGCGGAGCGGCTGGGCCCATGAGCCATGGCCGCTGAGCCTGCGCGTCCGGAGCCTGTGCTCTGCCGTGGGAGAGGCCACAGCAGTGAGAGGCCCACGTACCGCAAAAAAAAAAAAAAAAAAAAAAAAATAGTGTATCAGTTTAGATAAGCTAGTGTATGCTGCAGTAACAAACAACCTCCAAAGTCCCCATGGCTTTGACAACAAAAGTTATTTCCTGGTCTCAGTTCTTGTCTAATATGAATCGATTGGGGCCTCTAGTCCACATTATCCTCTTTCCCGGACCCAGGCTAAAGGAACAGCCGAGATCTGGAATACTGCTGGCCACTGTGTTAGAGGAAAAGAGAGAACAAGGTGAACTTCTGCACAGACATGACGTGGGTCATTCTTTAGCGTATTTCATTGCCAAAGCAAGTTTCGTGGCCATACCCAGTTTCAAAGGGGCAGGGAGATGCAATCCAACCAAAGGCCTAGAAAGAGAGTATCTGTGAACAGCCCTAATTCTGTGAACAGAGAATTAGTTACAGAGCTGGGACCGGCACACCCATCTCCTAACTCTGGGGCTGAGGCTCTTTCTACTATGAACCTCTGTCTCCAAGGCTATTTCCCACAGACTTTCACAATGACCAGTAATAATATAATGTGCTTTTTCTTCCAGGGATGGTTATTTTTAAAGAGCTTAAGGTGTTACCTCCAGGGGATAGAGCACTCATGGTGGAAACAATGGCATCATGTTAGACTGTCTAGAGGGGAAATTTGAGTTTGAAGGACTTTCCCAGAAATTATACCATCCAGGCACTCCTCACTTCCGCCTGGCACCTTGCTGCCCTGGATGATTTCTTTATGGGCCATATGATTTTGGACATTATAGCCCAGAAAAGAAACTGTGCCCTAGGCCATGTTCACATCCTTGTGCCAAGATCACACAAAGGGCAGGGATTAGCCCTTGTCTGGTGCCACCTAGGGATCTCAAGCCTTGGAAATTTACTGGCCTGAGAGGTAAGAAATCTCAGTTCTGAGCCTGGCTCTGCCATGAACTTGTATGATGACCTTGGGCATGTCCTTTACCCTTCCTTGGCTTAGTCTTTCCATCTCTTCAGTGGGGATGGTGATTCCTGCCCATGCCGTAGATGTGAGCATGTTTCATGAATTCTAAAGCCCTGTGCCTGAGCAAGGAGTTGTTGCTATTAGTTTAGTTGGGGAAGGGTGACCAGAGGGGCTGGGGACATGTGCCCAGTAGGCCTCTGCCGAGGGTCAAGGGAGAAGCTGGGGTCTGAACCCCAGGACACATGGTCTTTGCCCCAGCCTCTGGGAGTTGGTATGGCTGGCCCCTGGGCAGGCCTCCTACCTTTTTCAGAGTTAGAAGTGGAGTCTCTGGAGTTGTGATAATTAGATGAGACACATAAAGCACGTAAAACAGTGCCTAACACATAGTAAGTGCTTTCTGAGTGTTTGCCTCTATTATTAAGGAAATAGTACCAGAAAGTACATTTGGAAATGTTATAGTATATTCCACTGTATTATGGATAACCAGTTAGTTAATCTCCCACTGTTGGATATTTAGGTTGCTTCCAATTTTTTTTTTTTAATTTTTTTTTTTTTGCGGTACGTGGGCCTCTCATTGTTGTGGCCTCTCCCGTTGCGGAGCACAGGCTCCGGACGCGCAGGATCAGCGGCCATGGCGCACGAGCCCAGCCGCTCCGCGGCATGTGGGATCTTCCCGGACCGGGGCACAAACCCATGTTCCCTGCACCGGCAGGCGGACTCTCAACCACTGCACCACCAGGGAAGCCCTTTTATTTATTTATTTATGTTTGCTTCCAATTTTTGTCTATTAAAAATAATCCTGCAGTGCACAGCTTTGTAACTAAAAATTCTGTGTACCTCCATGATTGTTTCCTAAGGCTAGAGTGTTAGAAACGGAATTGCTGAATCAAAGGGCCTACAGACTTTTTAGGCTTTCACTACATGTGTCCCTTGCCTTATATTAGTACTCCTACCAGCAGGTTGTTTGAGAGTTCCAGTTTAGAAGGGGAGAATTTGCTTAGAGAGAGAGAGGAGATGGTCTGTATTAGCTAGGATTATATTTTGCTGTGGATAGCAGAAAGGCCCAAGCAACAGGGGTTTACACAGAATAGAAATGTATTTCCTTGTCATGTAATAGAAATTCAAAGTCAGAGAGTCCAGGACAGGAAAGCTTTACCCTCCATCTTCCTCAGTACTGGCTTTTACCTCATAATCCAACATGGCTGCCCAAGTTTCAGTCATCACATCGGCATTTCACCCAACAGGAAGAAGCAAAGAATGATATACAACATTTCCGCCTACATCCCATTGGCCCAAATTTAATTACATGGATACATCTAACTACAAGGGAGGCTGAGAAATATAGTCTATTCCAGATGACCAGGGAATATTCAGGGGTTCTAGTACTAAGGAAGAAGGGAAGAACAGATTTTGGGGGACAGCTAGTTGTCTCTGCCATGAGCTTAGCTCACACAGAGAGCAGCACAAATGGGTCCATGGAAACAAGAATGAGTTAAAGCATCGTCAGGGCATTATCCACGGGGGATGAACTAGACCATTCCAGAGCCAATACATAGGCACAGATTAATTTTGCAAAGGATGCAGAAGAAGGAGATTAATTTCTGGGACCAAGCTCTGGGCAATGGCATTGAGACTCTGCGGAGAGGCCACTTCTTTGTCTTCTGTGTCTGTCTCTTCTCTTCCCCTCAGATGTAGGGGGTGGTTTGTGACTGCCCCTCTTGGCTTCCCCCCAGCTGAGTTGTCCCCCAGCTCACCTGCCTACCTGGTCCCTGCAGGGCCGGGCTGCTCACGGACCCCGTCAGCCTCCAGCTGGGCACCGAGAACCTGTGCGGATGTCTCGTGAGGCTGCTCAGCAAAGACCCAGAATGGCTGAGTGCCAAGGTGAAGTTCTTCCTCCCCAGCATGGACCTGGGCTCCGGGGACCAGTCCCCAGACCCCACACAGAGGGTCATGCAACAACTCAGCAAACTGCACACCCAGGGTCAGAGCACCTGGCAGGAGTTCATCCACTGCGTGTGCATGGAGCTGGACGTACCACTGGAGCTGGAGGTGCCGTTGCTGAGCATTTGGGGCCACAGAGACGGTAAGAGTGGCTGTGAGAAGTGCAACGCCGCCAGCTAGCCCCAGGGCGTGGGGAGCCAGAGAGGCCCAGGCGAGGCCGGGACCTGTCTGACTCAGAGACAGCATGGCCAAACCAGGAACAAAATTCCATGTTTCTGCGTACCTCCCGGAGCAAATGCCCTAACACCACCAAATCTGCTGGGGACCTGGAAGACTCCTCCTTCCACCTTGTACCACCCCAGTTGCCCAGAAAGGCAGGATGCACAGAGAGAAAGGACCAGGTGACTTCTTCCTGCCAGGAAATTCCAAATAGCCTGTAACACCCAAGAGGTTTCTTTTCGCAATGCAGTCAGAAAGTCAGAGAGAGCCCTCTGACTACTGCTTCCGCGCAGGCTGACTGAACTCTGTTCTGTCCAGTGAACGTTTCTTGGGCTCTTTCTATTTACACAGCACCGTGGGGAAGCACAGAACATTGAGGGGTGACGGTGTTCTTGGAGAGAAAGTGAGAACTTACTCAAGAACTCTACAAGGCAGAGTGCAGGGCAGGCGGGCAGGCACAGTGTACACACGTGTGGATACACACGTACGTGCATGCGCACAAGCAGGCATAAACGTGTGTGCATGCACACGCATACCTGTATGTGCACAAACCTTTAGATATGCACACGTGTCTGCCCCCAGCTGCCTTCAAGGCTCACCACCAGCTGTGCCCTCCACAGATCACTGAGTGTAGATTTCTCCTTTGCTGGGAACCCACCCTGAGGGACGAGCCCCGAGCCAGACATGGGGCCAGAGCTGGTCCCAGGGCATCCTAGCACGTGCCCATAGCATATTATCTCCTCCCCTCTTCCAGGCTCCCCCAGGCAGCTGGACGTTGGCGAGGAAAGCCGACCAGACTCTCAGCTCCACCCTGGTAAGGCCCGGGGCTGGGGAGTGGGAGTGGGGGTGAGCACACGAAGTCCTCACCTCAAACCCAGAGCAGGCTGGTGGTGGCTGGTCACAGCCGTTTCCCATAAAGCAGCCTCCTCATCCTTGGACCCATCTGCACGCTTCCCAGGTCCCTCACCACGACTCCCAGCCTCACCCGCACCCCCTCTCTGCCCCTCAAGGCTTTGGCCTGTCCTGATACATGTTCCCAGGGGTCTAACCTGGAGCCTCCTGGGAGAGTCTGAAGTTGTCAGCCCTTGACCACTGCCAGAATCCCCTCCCTGGTTTCACTAGGGGAAGCCTGTTCTCACTTCCCTGTCCCCAAGCCTCAGGGCCTCATGCTCCAGCCCACAGACTGAGGCCCCTCACCATTCAGACACCTGCAGGCCTGACACTAACCCACAGACTGCCGTCCACACCCAGGGAGCCTCTGACTGATTTTCTGATGGAGCGCAGCGAGGTCAGCGATCAGATGGTCTGCCTCACTGATTCATAGGCCACACTCTATTCAGAATCTTTCTTCTGTTTTTCTTTTTACTGTGGTAAATTACATGGAATCAAATTTTCCATCATGACTACTTTTGAGTGTACAGTTCAGTGTATTAAATACACTCACATCGTCGTGCCACCACCACCATCCATCTCCATAATTCTTTTCATCTTGTAAAGCAAACTCTACCCATTAAACAATAACTCTTCATTCATCCCTCCCCCAGCCCCTGGTAACCACCATTTACTTTCTCTCTCCATGACTTTAGCTACTCTGAGTACGTTGTATAAGTGGAATCGTACAGTATTTGTCCTTTTCGACGGGCTTATTTCGCTTAGCATAATGTCCTCAAGGTTCATCCATGTTGTAGCAGGTGTCAGAACTGCCTTCCTTTTTAAGGCTAATATTCCACTGTATGTGTAAATCACATTTTGCTTATCCATTCATCCTTCGGTGGACTCTTGGGTTGTTTCCATATTTTAGCTATTGTGAATAATGCTGCTATGAATATGGGTAAACAAATATCTCTTCAAGACCCTGCTTCAGTTCTTTTGAATATATATCCAGGATCCAGGGTCATATGTCAACTCTATTTTTAATTTTTTGAGACACTTCCACAGTGCTTTCCACAGAAGCTTCACCATTTTACATTCCTACCAACAGTGCACAAGGGTTCCAGTTTCTCCACGTCCTCACCAACACTTTTTGTTTTCTGTTTTTTTGATAGTTGCCAACCTAATGGGTGTGAGGTGGTATCTCATTGTAGTTTTGATTAGCATTTCCCTAATGATTAGTGATTTTTTAAAAATATTTATTTATTTATTTATTTATGTTGCACTGGGTCTTAGTTGCGGTATGCGGGATCTTTAGTTGCCGCGTGCAGGGTCTTTAGTTGTGGTGTGCGGACTCTTAGTTGTGGCATGCGGGACATAGTTCCCCGACCAGAGATCGAACCCGGGCCCCCTGCATTCGGAGTACGGAGTCTTACCCACTGGCCCACCAGGGATGTCCCAATGATTAGTGATGTTGAGTGCCTTTTCATGTGCTTATTGGCTGTTCATATATCTTTTTTGGAGAAATGTCTGTTCATGTCCTTTGCCCATTTTGAATTGGCTTCTTTGGTTTTTTGTTGTGGAGTTTTAGGAGTTCTGTCTATATTATGGATATTAATCCCTTATCAGATATATGTTTTGCAAATATTTTCTCCTATTCTGTGGGTTGCCTTTTTACTCTGTGGGTAGGGTCTTGTGATGTATGATTTTAAAAATTTTTATGAAGTCCAGTTTTTCTATTTATTCTTTTGATGTCTGTGCCTTTGGCGTCATCTCCAAGAAATCATTGCCAGTCCCGGTGTCGTACACTTTCATCTTATGTTTGCTTCTAAGAGTTTTACTGTTTTGGGTCTTACATTTAGGCCCTTGATCCACTTGGAGTTAGGTTTTGTATTTGGTGTTAGGTAAGAGTCCAACTTTATTCCTTTGCATGTGGATATCCAGTTTTCCCAGCACCATTTGTTTAAAAGACTGTCCTTTCCCCCACTGAATGGTCTTGGCACCCTTGTCAAAAATCACTTGACCATATATGTAAGGGTTTATTTCTGGGCTGTCTATTCTATTCCATTGGTCTTTATGTCTGTCTTTGTGCCGATACCACACTGTTTTTGATTACTGTAGCTTTGTAGTAAGTTTTGAAATCAGGAAGTGTGAATCCAACAGTTTTGTTCCTTTTCAGGATTGTTTTGACCATTTGGGGTCCCTTGAGATTCCACATGAATTTTAGAATGGGCTTCTCTATTTCTGCAAAAAAAGGCATTGGGATTGTAATAGAGATTGCATTGAATCTATAGATCACTTTGGGTAATATTGAAATTTTCAACATTATTAAGTCTTCCAACCCACGAACATGTGTTTCATTTATTTATGTCTTCTTTAATTTCTTTCAGCAACATTCTGTAGTTTTCATTGTACAAATCTTTCATGTCCTTGGTTAAGTTAATCCCTAAGTATTTTGTTCTTTTTGATGCTACTGTAGATGGAATTATTTTGGTCATTTTCTTTTTTTTTTTTTTTTTTTTTTTTTTTTTTTTTTGCAGTATGCGGGCCTCTCACTGTTGTGGCCTCTCCCGTCGCGGAGCACAGGCTCCGGATGCGCAGGCCCAGCGGCCATGGCTCACGGGCCCAGCCGCTCCGCGGCATGAGGGATCTTCCCGGACCGGGGCACGAACCCACGTCCCCTGAATCGGCAGGTGGACTCTCAACCACTGCGCCACCAGGGAAGCCCCGGTCATTTTCTTTTGATTGTTCATTGTTCATGTATAGAAATGTAACTGACTTTTGTGTGTTGACTTTATGTCCTGCTACTTTGCTGAATTCATTTATTAGTTCTAACAGCTTTTTTTGTGGTTGTCTTTGGGGTTTTCTGCATATAAGATCTGATCATCTGCAGACAGAGATAAGTTGACTTCTTTTTTTCCAATTTGGATACCTTTTATTTCTTTTTCTGATGTAATTGCTCTGGCTAGAGCTGCCAGTTCTGTGTTGAGCTGAAGTGGTGAATGCAGGCATCCTTCCCTTGTTCCTGGTCTTAGAGGAAAAGCTTTCCGTCTTTGACCATTAAGTATGATGTTTGCTGTGGTTTCAGAACCTTTATTTCTATAGAAATATTGACTTTTTACTTATATCTGTGCATGGCTATAACAGAAAACATCCACCCCGTGATCCTAGCTCCCCAGTAAATCAAAACTGTTGGATACCTGGTCCCTCTGTCCCTTATCACTGAGCTGGAATACTTGTCACCTGGCTGTGACCAGGCCTGGTTGATATTTAGCTAGTGAGTCCGTTATTAGTAAAAGACTCGTTAAAATATTGAAATACAAGAGAATTCCTTGGTGTTCCAGTGGTTAGGACTCAGTGCTGTCACTGCCGAGGGCCCAGGTCCAATCCCTGGTCGGGGAACTAAGATCCTGCAAGCTGCTCATCGCAGCCAAATGTATCTTACACTGATTCCAGCCCCTCTTCGGGACCCCTGGCTTTCCCTGCAGACCAGCATCTAAAAGTTTAACAGCCGGCGGGGCAAGGGGCCTGCTCCAGCGGCCGTTCTGATTGGTCACCAGTGCCTGGTTGTGGGAGTGTCCTGCTTTACTTCTTAAAATTCTTCCATAGCCCCCTTTCTTTCTTCCTCCCTCCTCTCTGTCTCCCCTTCCTGTTTGTTCTCCTTCCTTTCCCAACCTCTTCAGAAAGGTATTAAAGCAACTCTTGAAAATCCACGCACCCAGACAAGAACTCATGAAACTAGTAAGAGAAGTGAGGAAATTTGGAAGATGTGAAATAAGGGAGATAAAACACACTGGTACAGGAGGGAGGGCACAGGCCTGACCAAGCCTCGTGGAAGCTTTTCCAACCAGCAGTGCCCTCGACAGAGCTGGGTGCTTCCCAAGCCATTTAGTGCTTGAGGCTGTTGGCTGTGGGCCCTGCTTCCTGCATTCTGGGCTGGGAGATGCCCAAGCCCAGAGCCTCCAGCCCTCTCACTTGGGCCTGGGACCCCTCTGCAAACAGGAACTGATGCTGATGCAGCCTTTGCCTGCCGCCTGCCTTCACTCAGTCCCTGAGCATGGATATACTTGTCTGGCTGCTGCCTGTCTGTGGAATGGAGCTCCCTGAAGGTGCTGGCTACCCCCTCAGCCCAGGCCCCCAGACCTCACCCCTTACTCCTTCCTTCATTCTCTCCAGACCTCAAGCGGCCTCATCAGAGCTGTGGGTCCTCACCTCGCCCAAAGCAGTTCAAGAAGCAGCAGCAAGGTGGGTACCAAGGTGGGGAGAGACCCGAACACTGGATTGGATTGCCTTGGGGCAAGGACGCAGATCTTGGACTCTGCCCCCTGATAACGGGCCCCCTGACTCTTGTCTTCCAAGCTCCCAGGAGGGAAGGAGAGGAGGTCCTGGGTGGGCAGAGGAGGGAGCTATTAGGTCTGGCAAGGAAGCCCCTTGCCCGGTGGGCCACAGCGCGGCTTCTCCAGAGATGGCTCAGCTGAAGGAGCCCAAAGCATCCCAGCAGGTCGCAGCTTCACCATCCAGGCTTTTCCGGGGATACTCCCATGTCCTCAGGGTTGAGGGAGCTCCAGGGATGTGACCAGCGTGACTTCAGAACTGGGCTCCCATTGGCCCGTTTAGGGCTGAGCTGGATAGCAAGGCAGAAGCCTTGGGGGCCCCTGGGAAGACATGGGGGCTGCTGTGGACCGGTCAGGCCGGGACAGACATTCTCCACCAGTTGTCCCACCAGCTGGGGAAACCCAGCCCCATGGGGCATAGCCAGAGGATTCACAGCTGGTCAGAGGATTCATATCTGTATAAAATAGGACACTCATGTCAGGCGCCCCCCCAGCAGGGGTATCCAGTGTCTCCCAACAGTGGCCCCGGGCCCTCCCCTGGGCCACCCAAGATCTCCCAAATGACCCTGCAATTAAAGTTAACACCCAGCAATGTAGGTATTGACTGTTGACCAGCTTCCGCAGTTCTGATGGTTCAGTGCCTGGGCCCACAGGGTGTTAGGGTCATCGTGGGCATCACACAGCTGAAACACTGTGGGGATGGGGACCGCAGGCAGGTTACTTCGATATCACAAGTAAGTAAGCTTGTTCCAATAAGGTATGGCAAAGGAAGTGCCCCCTTTCCCCTCCCCCATCTCAATGAAAACTTTACACCACTTACATTGTTGCAAAACAAACAGAGCCGTGGTCCACACTTCCGCATTCCCGCTTCCCCGTGTAAATGGCTGCCAGAGCCTGTGCTTCTGTAGAGCCAGTTAATTCTAGAAATTTGGGGGGCATAAGAGCTCCTGTGTGCTCTTGCCGCCCCCCATCCCCATACGTACACGGCCAAGGCTACAGGCTCCCAACAACCTGATACTGTGGTGAGGGCGTGGGGAGGCCCCGGCTCTCATACAGTCTCCCTATGTCCCCTGCAGAGCTGGCCAAGAGGTATCTGCAGCTGCTTAGAACTTCTGCCCGGCAGCGCTATACCGACAGGACCCCCAGGCCAGGGCAGCCGCTTGCCTTCCCCCAAGTCTACATCCCTCCAATCTTGCAATGGAGCCGGGCCTCAGCACCCTTCGACGCTCAGGAGGGGGCCATTACAGGGGACCCCAAGGCAGAAGATGGCACCGACGTGAACATCCGGGACCTCTTCAATACCAAGGCCAGCAGGGGCCCAAGAGTGACGGTGCTTCTGGGGAAGGCGGGCATGGGCAAGACCACGCTGGCCCACCGGCTCTGCCAGAAGTGGGCTGATGGTCAGCTGGACCGCTTCCAGGCCCTGTTCCTTTTCGAATTCCGCCAGCTCAACGTGATCACAGGTTTCTTGACGCTACGCCAGCTCCTTTTTGATCTGTACCTGAGGCCTGAGGCTGGCCCCGAGGCCGTCTTCCAGTACCTGCAGGAGAATGCTAGTGGAACCCTGCTGATCTTTGATGGGCTGGACGAGGTCTTCCACCCCTGCCCCAGCAAGGAGACTGCAGGCCCTGAGGGCCCAGCGTCAGCGCTCACCCTCTTCTCCCGCCTCTGCCGCGGGGCCCTCCTGCCTGGCTGCTGGGTAATGGCCACCTCCCGTCCAGGGAAGCTGCCCGCCTGCCTGCCCACCGAGGTGGCCACGGTCCACATGTGGGGCTTTGACGGACCGCGGGTGGAGGAGTACGTGAGCCGCTTCTTCAGCGACCAGCCATCCCAGGAGGCAGCCCTAGCGGAGCTGCGGGCAAACAGACGTCTCTGGAGCATGTGTGCCGTGCCCGCTCTGTGCCGAGTCGCCTGCCTCTGCCTCTACCATCTGCTCCCGGGCAGCTCTCCAGGCCAGTCTGCGGCCCTCCTGCCCACCATGACCCAGAACTACGTGCAGATGGTGCTAACCCTCAGCCCCCAAGGGTTCCTGCCTGCCGAGTCCCTGCTGGGTCTCGGGGAGGTGGCCCTACAGGGCCTGGAGACAGGGAAGGTCGTCTTCTCTGCAGATGACATCCCTCCACCCGTGATGGACTTCGGGGCTGCCCTCGGCCTGATGACCTCCTTCTGTGTGTGCACGGGGCCCGGGCACCAGGAGACAGGCTATGCCTTCACCCACCTAAGCCTGCAGGAGTTTTTTGCTGCCCTGCACCTGATGGCCAGCCCCCAGGTGGACAAAGATACACTCTCCCAACATGTCACCCTCACTTCTCGCTGGGTGCAGCGAAGCAAAGCTAGACTGGGCCTCTTAGACCACCTCCCCACCTTTCTGGCGGGCCTGGCGTCCTGTGCCTGCCGCCCCTTCCTCAGCCTCCTGGCACAGCGGGACGAGGCCTGGGTGGGTACCAAGCAGGCAGCAGTGGTGCAAGCACTGAGGAAGTTGGCCACCCGCAGGCTCACGGGACCAAAGGTTGTAGAGCTGTGTCACTGTGTGGGTGAGACACAGGTGCCTGAGCTGGCTGGCTTCACAGCCCAGAGCCTCCCCCATCAAATGCCCTTCCACAACTTCCTGCT